AATGTTAATCTTCATTGCATGTGTATATGTTTTAAAAACGAGCGACGTTAGGATCAAGGTTTCAGATTTGTATAGAAAGCGATAAAGCAGCATTATAAACGAGTTGCATGCGTTATTTTTTTAAGAAATAGCATTATATATTAAGAAGAAAACCAATCGTCATTTTGAGAGACAATTTTCTTGTGACGTCTCGGTCATTTGACATCTGCGCGAGAAAATGGGTGGTCGGCTGTTACGTTTACCTCCCCACGATTCTCTCGTTGCGATTGGCTGAACGTGTGGTGATGCAATCATCGGTGCCGTAAAATGCTAATATGTCAATATTCATGTCGTGCCTGATTCGTGCGGTGCACGTGTTAATGCGCGATTATGAATGATTTCTTGCAACCGAAATGATCGTTTACAATGCTGGGATACAGAAAAAGAGTTTCAAGCGTCGGCAACGCCACATTTATTAAGTAATACTCCGTGAATATAATTTGGTTTCTCGAATGATTTCACAACAAACTGAGAAAACTTAGTAGTTACGAAAGTAACGGCATACGATCGAATTCCATAACAGATGAAAAAGAACTTCGTGTCTGACACTTTATAGTTGAATAAGCTAATAGTGTATGCCAAACATCGTAAGGTTAAACTTTTAGATTCAAAATTTCAATAATTAGATAGAATACACCACACAATGAACAAATTTGTGTTATTGCTTTTCCTTTTAGATATTTACTTCAGGAAAAATTATTGATAAGGACTTAGATTGAAAATTTGAATAAACTAATAGCGTTCTTAAGCTACGAAATAATCTTTACAACTACTTGACTTTTTGCTAAGCGTCGGTTTATTCATTAGCATACACATAATTCACAAATACTTAATGTTCATTTGCAAATGAACTTTATTTACAAACCGTATTTAAAACGTTTAAAATGTGTAAGATTTATTGTTCTCACATGGTACATGTTATTCTGTCAGTGTTTCACAAGTTCCTATGTATGGATGTAGTAGTTATTTCGATGTATTAATAGCTTCCTTTCTTCGAAAACAGAGGAAACACCTTTTTTGCAACAGTTAAAAACATGCTTTTCACTAGTTGACAATACAACTGCTGCTCGTTAGTGAGCAGGTTTATCTGTTGAAGCAGGAACACAATTTAAATACGGCAGTTGCATAGGCTACATAACTATCAATACACTAATATCAAACGCACGCAATCTCTGTTTTAAGTGGCACGTACTAGTATCAATCGAGGAAAACCCCTATTTATTGCTACAGTAAGGAATCGAAAACAGTTTTTTAGGCCATTTCATGCAAGTAGAAGTCATTACTGCATCAAGCGAATGCATACAATGTTATACAAAATATAAAGTGTTGATGAACAAAATCACAAGTAGTTGCAAGATGTTCCATGTAGCTTAAAAATTCGACGAAAAATGGGAAAAAATTGTACATTTTGTGACTATCCTTGCAATTATTGTACTGTTAAATTTAAACCTTACGATGTATGGTTTGTAATAAATTATTGTGTCAGACGCGGAGTCCTTTTCATCTGTCGTAAAATTCGATCGTGCATCGTTCCTTCCGCAACAGCTAGGCCTACATGTGTTCTAAGTATGTTGTGGGTTCTTTCTGCACAGAAAAACACAGAAAAGCACAGAAAAACAATGTGATGCCGTTGAGAAACCAATGAGTATGCCGTAGGTGTAAGTTTGGATGAACTTTTTAGTAGGTCTACTGAATATTGAAAAAGTTTAGCTATGTATTTGGTGTCGATTAATGAAATGATTAATGAAGCTTGACTTGCTTTTCTGAGCTTTTCCAAGTTAAGTAACATAAAACGGATAAACTAGTTCGAGACATTTGAAATACATTGACAGCATTAATCAAATTTAAACCATGTAAACTAAAATATTTCGTCGTGCACTAGAATCTTACTTGTGAACCCTTTGAGTAATCGTGTTTGAAGTACATCGTATCTGTCAAACAATTCACTGTAGAATATAGTATAATAGTTCTCATACCGTACGATTCACAGAATTGGCACCCACATCTTGTACCTAACAGCTCAATGCGAAGTGTTTGTAATTAAAAAGCAAACATAATACCCCAAAACGAGTTGAAATACTTATTACCACGAAAACTAAATATAGCATACAAATTTAAATGCTAAATCAAGCAGTTAGGATAAATTAATACGTGACACCGCATTTCATTGATTTGGACAAAGTTTGCAAAACAAAGGTTTCGAACTTCTTTTCATGACTAGTAACTTTGCTTTTCTAGACTCGTCTCTGTCGTTCCCATCAACATGTAGTCTAAATAATGCTTGCGTTTTAACATTACATTTCGTGCCTTATCCGCACGTTTACAGTTTCTAGAACTATCGCATCGAATGTAACGAGAGAGTCCATGTATTTCCGAACATGCGCAATAACCCGTAATTTAAAAAAACCGATGTCAATGATAGAGGACAGCTCCAACGTTCCTGTCCACTCTGGCCTGTCGAAGCAGTTCGTCCGTCAGCATCGGCGGCTATTACCTCTCTATAATACCGGGCCCGTTTTTTTTACCCCGCGAGATTAATGTCGGTGGGCTGGGCCGACCAATTAACGCCACTCCCCACTCCTGTTCACCTTCCCGTCCCCCTCCCCCGCCAACACCGTCTGCTAGTCGTCTGGCACGCCGCAGTTTGCCGCGCCAGTGCCATCTATCGGCGGCGCGCGGACTCACAAGTGAGGCATTCCGCCGCGTGGCGGCAGCCGCGTACAATGGCCTACCTCGCCGCCCCCGCGCCGTCCCCGCGCGAGCCCACTCTCCTCGCCGCGCAGCCGCCGCGGCGTCGGCGTCGACAGGTCCTCGTGCGGGGCGCGGGCGATCGCCCGCGGCGGCGCCGCCACGCGCAAGGCGTTTGTTTACCTGCGGGGGCGTCTGTTGTGGGACGCGCGCCGACGTCGCTGAAGGCACGTGTGCACGTGGGCCGAGGGGCCCATGAGGTCTGGTCTGATTCTATGAGCGACGGGTCGTCTTTAACACTCAGGTGCTTTGGTGGAAGATGATGTAATGCGCCGTTTCGAGACTGGCACTTCCGAATATTACCTCACTCGGTCTATTGGTGGAAGTGGCATTTTTGCTTCTATAACAAACGTACTAACTGCCTAAAAATGAGTCAGTTTGAACGCATATCCATCTAGCGCAATCTTTACCTCTATTTTCATCTTGCATTAAACGTATCATTACATTTTACAATTAGCATTACCCTTTCGTGAGATCCTTTATAATTTCATTTCCAATGAAGGTAATGCATAAGTGTATGGATGTGTAACACATTCTCTCGCAAACCTCACAGACTGTTACACGAACATCCTAAATATCATGATTACTCTATATTTCTGTGATATCGACGAGAACTATATCAAGTATACTTTATAACGTCAAACGTTTTATTGAATAACAGAAGGAAAAACGAAAAAAAGCGTGTCGCACATTAGTCTCATCAACCTGCCATTCGTTCCATTGCCGTATATTACCGTCAGTTGGAATTAATCTAAAGGAAACGTGATCAACAGCGCCAACCGTTTCGGACGAGAAAAGAAAGAAAAAAGGGCGAACGCGCCGTGGAAATTCCAGCCGCAACCCGAGCGCTGCATCGGGTCGCCGCGGGAGCCACGAGCCGTGCTCTCCCCCGTGGCCCTCGACTCGACCTCCTACACGTGAAAAGAAGACATGCGAGCGCGTCCTCAAGGCCAGAGCGCGCGGCCAACCAGAAATAATCTGGGGCCTCTCCGCCGCCGCCCCCGCCCCGACACGCAACGCCCTCGCCGCCCTCGGCGTGCCCTCACGGTTCGTGCGCGGCGGAGCATCAGGAACAGGCACTGCTTTGTCCGAGTCGCCTCCCGCCCTCCACCTATACGCTCCCGCCCGTCCTCTCCGCTTTAACTCCCTTTCCTCTCTGCGTACGGGCGGGATTCTGTGCGAATACGTTGCACTCGTACGGAACACGGTAGTTACTCATTTACGAGTGCAAGTTGTTTTAAACTGTAAATATGTTGTTTCAATAATTGAAGTCGTTTTGAATACCCTTTTGCTAAAACTAATGGGTGGAATGTGGGGGTGGAGAAACAAGAATTGTTTCCGTTTACTAACATTATCTGCAGCTCAAATGGATAAATGACATACTTTTTAATTAAAATAGGTCCTGTGAATATACGAACAATGCAAGTGTAAGGACTGTTTCGTGATGTAGATCTTTTTCTAAAAATTTTATATTTTAGGTTTGTTTTTGTGTTTCAGATTTTTCGTCGAAGAGTACGTAATACGGGGATTTCCGATATTCCTCAACATCAGTTGGTCTACACATGCTGGTCAACCTGCTCGCTGAGATGCTTGTACAAATAGTGTTTTAGTTTTGGGTTGTGGCGGAGCATTGTCTGTGTGCGCTGAGCACGGAGAGGGGCAGAGAGAGAGAGAGAGAGAGAGAGAGAGAG